ATTCCTTTGCGTGCCGCTCAGCCGCTGACTAACTTAACTTCCTTCCCTCCTTCCCACTATGGGATTTTGTTTGTCTCAATTCCCTTTTACCCGCAGTGACAGTCCATCTCACAGAAAATTCGATAAACGCTTCCTCTCTTAACATACCTCCCACACTATTCCGCTCCTGGATACAATTGGTTGAGCTGTCCTCTATTCCACCCCCTTACTCCATACCTATATTACTTACATCATAATGCATTCATCCCAACCATACACATCTACTCCCTCCCCTTCGCTCCTATCATCACCTTTACTCTTCACGGCTCCACAACTACCCAGCCTATCCTAGTCTCTCAAACTACTTTCTTCTTTCCTCACAATCTCCTATTTATATCTTTCCTCTCTATGTTTCCTACTCACCCGTGCAGATCCTATCCTGTTCCCCTCCCCTTTCCCATTACAAATAAAAAAAAATGCCCTCCCGCTTCAATACCTCCTTTTCCCTCCCATCTTCCCCCCTCCTTCTACACCTCACCCTATCCCCTACCCCTTTGTGTCCATTGGCCCCCACCCACTTCTCCTCAGAGCTTCACATTTTTTCGCACTTTCTCTCTTTACACCTTACCTTAAATTCCACTCTTTTTTCATTTCTCCACACTCCGTGCCTGCTTCCTTTCCCTTTCCTCCTCGGCCTTTGCCTGCTCTTTTATCTGGTTCGCTCCGGCCCCCATTGCGCTTTCGCTTATCCGCCCTGTGCTTCCCTTTCCCCGTCGGACGCCTTACTTCACCATACAACGGCATCCCACCGACTCCAGATAAGCGCACCCTACTCTGTCTCGCCAAAGATAAAATAATCCTTTCTCTCCACTATTGCCCCCACACTCCGCCACAAGCTTCGCTCCGCCACCCCCATATTCCCCCTCACTCCCCATCCTCCACATCGTCTAAATCCCCCCATTCGCTCGCCATCACCTGCCTCCCTCTCTGAACTTACGCCCCCCCCCATCATCCCTCCCCCATCCCCACCCCCCACAGTCGTTCCCCCCCCCCTCCCCCCCCACCATTATGTCCCTCCCTCTCTTCTTCTCCCCCCCTACCACCACATCCTCCCCCTCCTCTCCCCCTTCCCCCCTCTTCCCGATGCCCTCCCTCCTTCCCCTTACACCTGAATCCAGCGGTTCCAAGACGCCGACACAACCGGGCACGGAAAAAACGGCGACAGCCGCCCCCTCTGCGAGGGCGACCGCGGACAAACACGGTCTGCTCGGGCTCGGAGACCCGGGCCCGGCAGCCTCACCTGCGCTCCGCTTACCGTCGAAACCCTTCCCCCGAGCGCCTTCTCCGTAAAAAATCGCAAAACCAAACACGTTTGCCGCCGGGCGCCTCTCCGTCCGTCTGAACTTATCGCCCCACATCGCATAGCCCACAACCCGCTGTCTGGTTTGGAAAAGTCGCCCCTCACGTCGCAATAACGTTTCCCACGCATACACCAGCCACACTATTGCATCAATCGAGCTATGCCCTTAATTTTGCGCATCCAACATAAAAGACATTCACGTCATTCTCGTTCTACTTCCATTCCTGTGACTTCTTTTCGCCCCATTTGCCACTCAAAACTAAAAATTAAGGCTTTATCACATTACCGATTGACGCAGATACGCGTGCAAACTGCTACTGCCCCTTCTCATCAATACTATTATCTCTGGCTCTCAAAAAAACCCCTTCCACGCCTCTCAGTTGGTGCTAAAACCAGCTCGGCCATGCTCTCGCATGTCCCCATAGACTCTTCCTCCGCCACCGACTGCCCACCAAACGTCCCAAATATCAAATTCGCGCCGCCCTGCGTGCGTCACCACACCACACAGGGGTGCCCACAATCTAATGGGGTCTTACATGACATTAGGTCTCCGTACTCGGACACAGACCTTCTCAAAAAGCGTTGCGGTCTCCCAGCCCCTGCGTGCTATGGCGCCTATACTGCTTGGTCTTCGTTATCCGCGTGTTCGACATGTCACCCCTCGCCTCGTTCCTCCTTACAGCGAGAGCGTGCCCATGTGTGGCTCTTGGGAACAGCAACGCCCACAGCGTTCGCATTTATATTACTTCATGCACTGATGTTGTAAATCATCTCACATAAAATCTCATGCCTTTATCGTAACTGTTTTTACTTGATTCGTCCTCCCACCTCCCCGGTTCTCTTTTATTCCATGCACTCCGCCCTCACTACCTAGTCTCCCATTCTTCTCATGCTCGCTCTGCCCTCAATTCCCCACTTTTGCGTCTTTTCTGATCACCTCACCATGCTTCCATGATCATAGATCCCAATACTCTATCTCATCTCAGAAACTTATCATTCGTGGGATCATTCCATTTGCGATTGCGGGCTACATTCATATCCCATTTACGCCGACTGCTTGCTTAACCCACTTTCCCCCTCTGTCTGACTCCTGTTATCTAGACGTCCCGTCACCCCCTGCTTAGACATATTAGACCTTACAGCCTAACCCCCACTCTGCTCTGTTTCGTATTGGCACCTACATTTCATACCCGTATATCTCGTGTCCTTCAGGTTCCCTTATTTCCTCTCACAGTCATACGTTAGTAAATTCCCATCCCTCTGCACATATACACTCATTCCCTCGTCAATTTGTTGCCTTGCATCATTGCTGCTATGGTGATGCTTCACTTTAGCCTTAAGTAGCTACTGCCTCTCGCCTTGGTATGACAACCTTTTCCCCACACCACTGCTTTGCCCCTTCCCTTGGTTCACTCCCCCCATGACTAATTTGAAACAGTCTCAACTATTGACTTTGCATATGTATGGGAAAGAGAAAATTAGGCCTACATTTCTATGGGCTAGAACAACACACAGGATATCCTAACAGCATGCTCTGGGCTTCAATCCTCATCAAACATGTACAATGTCATACTTCTACACCATTTCTAGCATCCTCTTCGCCCGTACCTTTTATTTAAAAAAAGAAATCCACCTTTCCATGCCCCCATTGCAGCATTTTCCTTCACCAATCATCACTGGCGAGGACCCCCCCGCTTATCTGTCGTGTCCTCTCCCTCATCCAGTGCCCCCCCGGCTTTCTCTTAGTTAGCTACCTTACTATTCCTACGCCACCCTCTCCTGCCCTCTTTCTACTGTTTTTGCTCTACCTATTGCATCTTGAGCACTTCATGCCCACCCTCTGCCGGCCTCCCTCTTCTTTTTCTAACTTGGTCGACGCGCGCCTTGCCAGCCACCTTGACTCTATTGGACCAGGTTACTACTATTTGCTACTGGCTTTACACCTGCCTCAGACTGGACGATCTCACAACAATATTCCTCGATCCTCGTCTTTCGCCAGGGCCCTGTGCCTTTAGAGGTGCTAATCTCACCATCACTATCGTCCGCGTACTCACCAGATTTAAAATCATGCTCTCTTCGGTCCGTTGGTTTCCAGACCTAGCTCGTAGCGCGCTCAGACATGCGGCATCTTCATTACCATATACCTTAAACTTAATCCGTGCCTAGGTTGCACCCGCTGACGGAACCACAATGTCTTCAGAGCTCCTAGTCTTGCTCGCACGCATATCCAGCACCCACTTTCTCTCACAGCTAGAGAGAGTGCGACGCATGGCCTTATTATCTGCGTGCCTGTTGGCAACCTGCCATCCCCCTCGCAGCCCTTCCGTTTCCCTGTTGGCAGACGCTGCGTGCTGCTACGATGTGGCTGCCGTGGCTTCGCTCTCGCGCCCCTGCCTCTGCGTCTCTTCGCCCCGTTTCGGCCCTCTCCCTGGCTCTCCCTCTCGCGCGTCGTCTTCCGCGTGTCTCTGTGGCCCCTCTCCCCCTTCCCGCTTCTCCCTGCTCCTTTCTCCCTCTTCCTTTTCCTCCTGCCCCCTTTTCTCCCTCCCCCCTTTTCCCTCTCCCTTTTCCCCTACTCTCCATATTCACTTTTTTCTCCTCCCCTCTTTCCGCCCTCCTCCCTCCTCCTTCTGCCTTGCCCTCCGTTGCCCTTGCCCCCTTTTGGCCTCTCCTTCCCTCCCTCCTGGCTCCCTCCGCCCTGTCCTTGCGCTTTGCCCTTTTCCGCCCCGTGGCCCCCCCCTTTCCCTGACCCACCGCTCCCCGCCCCTGTGCTTCAGCGCCGCCCCCCGCACCTTGTGGTTTTCCTCCTTGGTCATCGCTTTTTTTTTTTTTTGCGCTCTTTCCCTTTTGTTTGGCCTCCTTTCCCCCTCCTTTTTCGTCTCCCCCTTGTTTCGCCCCCCCCCCTTTCGCGTCGCCCCTGCTTTCGCATCGTCCCCCCTTTGTCTGCCTGCCGCTTTCCTTTGCCCCGGCTTGTTCTCCTTCTCCGCATTTTTTTTTTCCCTTCACTTTTTTCCCTCCGCCCCTCTTTTTCCCACCCCTCCCCTTCCTTCGTCTGCCTTCCGCCCCCTTCTGCCCTTCCCCCCTCTCTCCGCGCGCGCCCGTGCGCGCCGGGCCTTCCCTTCCTTTCTCCCTTCTCTGTCGGCGGCCCGCGCGCGCGCCCGGGGCTCCTCCCCGCCGCGCCCGTTTCTTCTCCCTCCCTGCTCCTTCTTTCCTCCGCCTCTATTCTTTCCGTCCCTCTTCCCCCCCTCCTCCCTCTTGTCCCTCCCCCCCTGCGTTCCTCTTTCCTGCTCTTTTTCCTCTCCTTCCCGCTTATCCTCTTCCCCCTCCTTCCTCTTCCCTCTCCCCTTTTCCTTCCCGCCCACTGTTTTTTCCCTTGCCTCCCTTGCCCCCTCCGTCCCCTCCTCGCCCTCTCTTCCTCCTGTCGCTGTTCCTTCTCCTCTTCTCCCCCCGCCCTTTCTTTTATGCCTGGTCTGGCTCCGTCCCCTTTCTCCGTCCGTCTTCCGGCTCTCCCCTCGTCGCTCTCCCTCCCCCTTTGCCGCGTGCCTGTGCCTGTGCCCCCCTCCCTTTCCGTCCTGCGCGCCCACCCGCGCCGGTCCGTGCCGTGCCGCGTCCCGTCCCCGCCCGCACCGTGCGGTTCCGGCCGGTCCTCGCCCCGCGATCTCCCTCAGCTCCTCCTCTCTCCTCCCCCCTCCTCCTCCCTCTCCCCTCCGCCCTTTCTTTGCTGCCCCCCCCTTGTCTCCCTCCCTGCCCCCTCCTCCCCGCTTGTTCCTCTCCCCCCCCCCTCGTCCCCGGGCGCCTCTGTGCATCCCATTCCCCCCCTCCTCCCTCTTCCTTCCTCTCCTGCGCCCCCTGCGTCTCCTTCTTCCCCCGTTGCCCTCCCTGCGTGCCCTTCCCTTTCTTCCCCGCTCCCCCGCTTGGGCTTTTTCCCCGCCTGCATCCCTCCCCCCTGTTCCCACCCCTCTCCCTTCCTTCCTCCTCCTCCCTCCTCCCGCCCCCCCCTCCTCTTCCTTCTTCTGCGCGCATCGTCCCCCGCCGCCGTCGCGCCCCCCCCTCCCTGCGCACCTGTCCCTCTTTGCTCGGTCTTACCCGCTCCCTTCTGCTCGGTCCCTCTGCTCCCGTTGGTTGGGTCTCCGGCCCCCTTCTGCCGCGGGTCTCCGCCCCCCCCTTTCCCCCCCTCCGGCCTCGTGCCCTCTGCTAACTCCCCCCTTGTCCCCCCCCCCCCGCCCGCCCCCTGGCCGCCGTGCCTTGCACTTTCCTCCTTCTCCCCGTTCCGTTTTCCTCTTCTTTCCCCCGGCCCCCTCTGGCCTGGCGTCTCTGTCGCCCTGCCCGCCACCCTCCCTTTCTGTGCTTTCCCCCGGTCCTTCCCCCCCCCTGGCTTCGCGCCCCTCCCCGGTTGGCCGCGTTTGCTCTGGCGCCTTCTCTGCCGTCCTGTCCGCTGCCCCTCCTCCGTCCCCCCTCCTCCTACTTTTTCCCTTTCCTCGCCCGCGTCCTCTGTGCTGTCTTTCCGCTGATCACGCCGGCTCTTTCCGCCTCTGGCTCCCCTTCGCCCCGCCAACATTTTCCACGCCTCTCCTCGCCGCCTTTCCCCTCTCCCGCCCTCCCTCCCTCGCCCTGCCCGTTTCCCCCCCCTTCTTTCGGTCTGCTGTCCCCGCCCTCCTTCCTCCTCCCCTTTCCGGGGTCCTGCTTCGGGTTTACTCCCGTCCCCCCCCTCCTTCTTTGCTGCTGCCTCTCCCTCCTGGGGGTTCACCGTCCCGCCCCCAGTCCTCCGCTGCTCGTGGCTCCGCTCCGCAGACGCTGTGTCAGCGGCCCGCCCCCTGCTTTCCTTTTTCGCGGGGCCCCTTTTCCTCTCCGCCTTGGCCGGTTGGAGTCTGGGCCCTGGCTTGCCGGTGCTTGCCGCTGCTGGGGCGGCCTGCCCGCCCCCGTTGTGGTTGCGGCTCTCGCTGTTTCCCCCCCCCGACGCGAGTTCCTTTCACTTCGCCCCCTCTTTCCTGCGTTGGCGCTGCCCCGGTTGGCCGGTGCTCGTGCCCCTTTGCCCCTGGCGGGCCCCGCCTTTTGCCGTTGTGGTTTTTTTCCTTTGTTGGCCCCCCGGTTTCTGGGGTCGGCCCTCCCTCCCCTCCCCTTCCCTCTTTTTCTTCCCCTTTTGCGGTTCCTCTGCTCCGCCACCGTCGCCGCCTTTCCGTCTCGCTCCTCCCGTGCCCCCTTCCTCTCTCTCCCCCCCCCCCGGCGCGGCGGCCCCGCGCGCGCTCCGGTTTCACTTTCTGTCGCTCCCCTGCCCTGCCTTCTCCTTTTTCTTCTTCGTCCCTCCCCTTTTCTCCCCTCGTATTCCGGGTCTTTCGTTCTTTCTCTCCCCTCCCCCTCTAGTTTGTCCCCCCGACCCCGCCCCACCCCGCCCCCCTTCTTTTGGCTCCGCCTTGCCCCTGTTCCCTCCCCTCCCCCGGTCCGCTCCCCCTCCGGCCCTCTTTTCGGTTTGCCCCGCTTTCGCGCCGCCCCCCACCCCTTGTTCGGTCCCTTCCCCCGGCTTGCCCTCCCCCTGCCCTCCGTGCCCGCTCCCGCCTCCCCTTTTCTTGGCTTGTTGCCACGCTCCCTGCCCGCCCTGTTCTGCTCCTCTTGCCCCTCCTTCTCGGTTGTACTTTCCCTCTCCTCTTCGTCCTGTGGCCGCCTTGCCCCCTGCCGTTTCGGCCTCTCCCTTCTGCATTTCGTTTTCTGCCTTCCCCTCCTCCTCCGCGTCCTTGTCGTCTTCTCTCTTCTGTTCCCGCCCCTCCCGCCGTGTTTTTGCCTGTCCCGTTTCCTCGTCCTTTCTTCTTCTTGTTTTTTCCTCTTCTCCCTTCGCTTCGCCCCTTTTGCTCTTGCTTCTTTGCCTCCGGCTTCCTCTCCTGGCCCTCCTGGCCCGCCCGCCCCGCGTGCTCTTCTCTGCCTGTCCCCGCTGCTTCTTTTGTTCCTGTTTGGCTTGTTTCCGCTTCCCTGCCTGCTCTCTGCTCCCATGCCCCGCGGGCCCCCGTGTCGGGGTTCTCGCCCCGTTTTTTTTGTCCGTCCCCTTTTTCCCTGCCCCGCCCTTGTCGTTGGCTTTCCGTTTCCCGCGCTCCATTCCCCTCTTATTTCCTTGTGCCTCCTCTGCCCCCTGCCCTGGGCGCCCGCTGGCTGGCCCTTGCCTGGCCTGCTTCCCGGTTTTCTTTTCGTTTCTTGTTGTCCCTTTGTGTCGCTTTTCGCCTCTTGCCCTCGCTGGTTTTGGCCCTTACTTCTGTGCGGCGCCCCGCCCCGACCGTGGTCCGGCGTCCCCCCCCCCGTTCGCCGTCCCGCGCCTGCCTTGCGCTGTCCTCCCCGCCGCCGCGGTGCCTGGGCGCCTCTGGTTGGTCTCTCGGCGGCGTTTGCCGTTCAGCGCATCCGCCTCTCTTCCTCTGCGTTTTGTCCTTTTCGCTGCTTGGCTTACGGCTTTCGCCTGTTTTTTTCCCGGTTTCGGGCTTCCGGCGTGTCTCCCCGCCCCCTTTTTCTTTGTCCTCTTTCCGTGCTCCTTGCTTGCCCCTTTGGCTCCTGCTCTCCCTTTTTGCCCTTTCTGGCCGGCCCTCTTTTCTTTCTCCGTTTGCTTTCCTTTCCCTCTTCTCCTTTGCCTCTTTGGGTTGCTCTTCCCCCTTTTCTTCTTTCCTCCTTGCCTGTCGCCCCTTTTTTTTTTCCTCCCTCCCGGTCTTCCTTTCCTCGTTCTTCGTTGTTCTTGTTGCGCTTCTCTCTGTCTTGCTTCTTGTCTCTCTTTACTTTGCCCGTGCGCTTTCCCCGCCTTTGTGCTTTGCCTGTTACTTTCCCCCTGCCCTTTCCCTGCGCTGTTGGCCGCGCTTGCCTTCCTTTTTTGTGGCCCCCTGCCCATTTCCCGCGTCCCCTTTGTTTCGTGGCTCTCCGGCCTCTTTTTATCTCCGAGCGCCGGCCCTCCCCTTTGCCTTCCTTCCCGCCCTCGCACCTCCACTTTCTTTTTCGCATCTTCCTTCCCGCGTCGCCTTTCCTCTATTTTTCTTTCTGGTCCTGGCTTTTTTTCCTTTCGCTTGCCCCCCTCATTTTCTTTGCTTGCCCTGCTTCTTTGCCCCTTCCATGTCTTTTTCCGTGCTTCTCCCTTTCCTGGATCTTCCCCCTCTCCCTTCAGCGTTCCTCCGGGTTGTCGGGCCCCTCTTTCTTCTTTTTTTACGCTTTCCTTCCCTCCCTCCTTTTCTTCTTTCCCTGCCTTCTCCGTTCGTTCTCCCTCCCCCTTGGCTGGTGCTGCCTTCCTTCTCTCTCGCTTTCCCTCTCTCCCTCGCCTTCTCCCTGCTGTCTTCCCTATTCTCTCGCCTTCTCTCTCTGTCTCTCTTGTCTTGCCATTTCCGCCTTTGTCTTTCCTTACGACTCCGGCCTTTTTTTCATTGTTTTCCCACTCTTTTCTTCGGTTCCCCCATTTCCTTTCCCACCCTCTGCTTTCCGCCGGTCTGTCCCCGCCGTTTCCCTTCCCGCTTCATTCCGCCCCCTTTTTTTTTCCTCGTTTTCTCCCTCCTTGTTCTCCTTCCCTTTTTTTTTGTTTCCCCCTTTGTATCCTTCCCCCTTCTTTTTCCCCTTCTTCCCCCACCCCTTCCTCTCCCCCCCCCCCCCCTCACTTCCCCTTTTGCCCCCCCCTTCTTTTGTTTCTTCTCGGCCGCCGTTTCTTGCTCTTTGTTTCCGTCCCTTTTTTGTGCCCCTATGTCTGCCCCCTGGCCCCGCGCACATCCCTGGGCTTGCCTTTTTTCTCCGCTCCCCCTGGCCCCCCCCCTTTTTTGCTCCGGGGGGTGCATTCCGGCCCCCCCCCTTTGCCCCCCCCCTGGGCCCGTTCCACTTCGTTCCCTTCTCGCCTTTCTTCTTCTTCTGTGGCTGCCCTCTTTCTGCTCACCCCCTTTCCTTCTTTTCCTCTTCTTGCTCCCTTCTGTGCCCCTTTTTTCTTTCGCGCCCTTTGCTTCGGCCCCTTCCGCGGCCTCCCTGCGCCCTTCGCCGTGTGCCGTTGTATCTTCCCTCTCCTCTCCGCCGCCTCTCTCCTCTTTGTTCGCTCCTTGGCGTTCCTTCTCTCCCTTTCCTACCTCTCCTCTTTACGTGCGTTTTGTCTCTCAGGCGGGCGCCGCCCCTCATCCCCCCGCCGCCTCCTCCTCTCTTTGCACCCACTTTCCCTTACTTTTCTGCTTACTCTTTTGCTCTGTGCCTCCCTTCCACGCCTCCCACACTTGCCCTCTCTCCCCCCCTTTCTTTCGCCCTTTTTCTTCCCTTTCTCTCCTCCGCGGCCTCCTTCCCTTCCTCCTGTTCCCCCTGCCCCCTTCCTTCTTCGTCCTACTCTCTCCTCTCTTTCACCTTCCTTTTGCCCCACGCTCGCCCTCTCTCTCACCTGTCTCCTCTTCCTCCTGCTTTGCTCCCCCCGTCACCTTTCCCTGCTCCTCTCTTCCTCTTCCCCCTTCTCCTCCATGCTCTTAACCTGTTTTCCCTCCCTTCCCCTGCGCCCCGTTCATCTCTCCCAGTTTTTCTTCCTTCTTCTCTCTCCCACTACACCCCTACTTTTCTGCTTCCCCTCTTTTTTCCTCGGCCTCCTCCCTTCCTCTCCCCCTCGTCCGGCGTTCCTGCTCTTTGCCCTCTTCACTCTCGCCCCTCTCAGCCTTGTTTCCCTATCTGCGCTTCCCTCCCTCTCCTCTTTTTTTCTCCCTTCTCTTCTTCTTTCCCCTTCCCTTTTTTCATTTCTACTTTTTCCCCCCCGTTCTTTCTCCTCTGCGCCTCCTCCTTCTCCTCCGGCCTCCCTCTCTCATTCTCTCCCCCTTCCTCTCATCCTTTTCCTCCCCTCCCTTCTTCCCCCCTCCCCCCCCTACCCTCCCCTTTGCCTCTGCCCCTCCGGTTTATGGCCTTCCCCCCTTCCTGTTTCCCCTCCTTTGGGTGCCCCTGGTTGCCCCTTCTCTCTTCCGACTCCCTTCCCCTTCCTCCCCCTCCTCCTTCCCGTCCCCCCCCTCTCTGTTTCCCCTCTTTCCGTCCCTCTCTGCTGTTCCCCTCCTCTCTTTCGCGTTTCACTCATGTTCCACTCATTCCCTCTCCCCCGTGCTCCCTCGGTCCCCCCCCCGCTCCGCTTTTGCGTTCCGGCGACTTCCTCCCCCTTCTTTTGTTCTGTCTCGCTCACCCGGTCCTACATCGAGTTGCCCTGTTGCATCCCTCTTCGTTCCTTTCCTCATCCCCTCCCCTCCCCTGCCCCCCTCCTCCTGTAAAGTCTCTACAAGGATTCTACATACACATTATCATTTAGTTTACATCAAGTATATACTCAAAATTTTTAATATTTCATATCTATCATATATATAAGACCATAATAGATATTATTATATGCGGAGTCAGTAAAAAGAAAACCGTTTGATTTTGTGATTACGAACAATAAAAACACACTAAAAGCGCATAGATGAATAGTAACAACACATGACAATAATAAAATCGAACGGCTTTCTGCTCCCAATATCCACACATTGTCACTCCTATGATTAAGTATTTTGTGTGGACATCGAACACCGTACGAAGACCAATCATAATGCGCCACATCACTCATGTGCTTGATACCGCAACTCGATAATGCTCCTATACGGAGACCAATCAGAATGCACCGTGTCACCCCTGTGCTTGTTACCGCAGCTCAATTCTGCTCGATATAATTTACGTTGTTCATTCTGATTCTGATTAATCTCAGGATGACATTCTACATCATTCCTATCATCGATCACCAACCTATAATTTTTAATGTTTTATTCCTGATAAATATATATAATGGCATATTCAGAGCATCTACTCCCAACTTGCAAGGAA